TCGCAGGTTAGTTCGATGAACTGATGGACGCTGAGGACGCAGGACTCCGTTTTTAAACACATGCTGCGGACGTAAAGGAACACAAGCAGACAGACGACGGTTACTTCCGCTGAAAAGCGCGCGGAAAACTCTGCTCAGTTTCCGGTTATTAACCTGACCTTTCACACTAAAGTCCTGAATCCTAACACAAAGATCTTAGACTTGGACCCAAAATACAGCAAAAAAACTTCAACAAAAATGTGTAAATACACCTCAAGTTCAAACACTTTAATGTTCTAGATGTTTTTAAAAACTCACTTCCATCACATTTGAACTTATATCTAAAAAAGTTAAATCTGGTCCTCTGGACATTCAAAAAAAAAACAAACAAAAAAAAAACCCAAAGCAAATTAACAAAAAAATGTAGAAACGTTTCGTCTCTCATCCTGAGGACTTCCTCAGTCTGAGGTGCTGTTTTCAGCTCAGTCTCTTAAATAGCACCTTCTCAGAGTGGATCAACCAGTTTGCTGCTGACAACCAAAACCAGCTGATCACATGATCAAGAAGGACCATCAGCCTAACAATGGATCATTAGCACCTGATGGCTGTGTACTATTCACAGAGGGCTGAGTGATACTAGCAATCACAGCATTGTAAGAGGGGGACAGTTGAACCAGGAGGCTCCACCCCTGTTTAATGATGGACGGTTTCTCTTCACAAAGATGGCCTCCTTTACTCCTCTCTCAAACCATCGTTCCTCTCTGTCCAGGATGTGCACATCTTCATCCCTGAAAGAGTGACCTCTGGCCTGGAGATGAGTGTAGACCTCAAAGTCCTGGCCTGATGATTTGAACTTATACTTTTGACACTTTTGGTTTTATTTTGTTTAGTTCAAATTGTCAACGTGCACTTTGTGTTTCTACTTTAATGTTCTGGTGTGGACGGTCAGACCGGATGAAGGTCGGTCAGGTGAAGTCCAGCAGGTGTTTAAAGAGTTGACACCAGGAACCAACTCCTCACCAGCTTTGACCAACAGAACCTTAGAAAACACTTCGGTTAACTCACATGAGGCAACAGGAAAGAATCGATCATTACGTAAACATTAAACAGCCTTGGTGAACTCTGACAAAGATTAAAAAAAAAAAATGGATTAAAAAAAAAAAAATGGATTAAAAAAATTTACGATTTTTTTTGTTTGTTTGTTTGTCTTTCTTTATATTAAACGCTCACATTTTGTATGATTGTCCTGTTACAGCTCAGTTATGTTTTTAATGTTGTAAATGAGCCTCTACCTCAATATTCCTTTGAGTTCATAAATAAAATGTCATGTTTTCTCACAATCTGTAGAAATTAAACTTAATTCTGATTTTTTTTATGCAGGTTGCACTACTGTGTTTTTCTTGTTGGTTTGTTTTTTTTTTTTTGGGGGGGGGGGGGGTGTAACCACACTATTGGTTGTATTTGCACAGACTAGTATTTGTGATACTAGTTAGTTTTACTAAGAGTAAATATCCAGGTTTTGAACACTTCCATTTTCCGTAGTTAAACTGCCCACCTTCTCACGTGCTCCTCATAACCAGCTAAACATTTTAAAGTTCAGGTAAAGCACATTATTATTTCACATTGTAAACAATAAATAGACCAGACTGAGCTCTTCAGGCAGATGTGGGCGGCTCTTAAAAGAGCCTTTGATGGTCACAGATATCGCTTTGATCTACTTGGACTTGGCGGGCTTCTCGGTCTTCTTGGGCAGCAGCACCGCCTGGATGTTGGGCAGGACTCCTCCCTGAGCGATGGTCACTCCTCCCAGCAGCTTGTTGAGCTCCTCGTCGTTGCGGACAGCCAGCTGCAGGTGTCGGGGGATGATCCTGGTCTTCTTGTTGTCACGAGCAGCGTTTCCCGCCAGCTCCAGGATCTCAGCCGTCAGGTACTCGAGCACCGCCGCCAGGTACACTGGAGCTCCGGCTCCGACGCGCTCGGCGTAGTTTCCCTTCCTGAGCAGCCTGTGGACACGACCGACAGGGAACTGCAGACCAGCACGAGAAGAGCGGGTCTTGGCCTTAGCTCTGGCTTTGCCGCCGGTTTTTCCACGTCCAGACATTTTAGTAAAGTTCTTCGTTGAATGTTCAAAGAAAGAAGTAGCGAGAGAACGGCGAGTGCTTTCCTTATAAAGGCTGCTGCTCCTCGCTGATTGGTCAGCTTGAGCTGCAGTGTAATCCACCAATCAGAAGAGAGCACGTCTAATTCTGGCACTGAGGCTGTAACTTCCGCTCTGATGGAGCTGAGAATTTCACAATAAGACGGAGGTGCAGCTTTTCATCCATGCAGGACATTGTTGGTCGAAAATACATAAAAATAAATAACAAAACCAAGTGTTTTGTTTATGTTTTGCTTTTAAATTTTTGGTTACATACTCTAACCAGACCAGTATGGTTATTGTTACGTACTGTAACCAAACCAAGCCCGTCTACATGGATAGTGCATGGTGGATGCTGGATGGTGGTCGTTGGATGTTGATTGATGGGTGATCAGAATCCAAGGAAACAGCTCAGCTGTTCTGCGTCTGAACCCATCACGAGCTCCTCCACATCCAGAGTTCTAACTCTAGATGTTTTTTATGTCCATCTGTCTCCAGACATGTTTCCCTCCTTGTGGGCTTCAACTCACAGCACAGTTTCTGCCGGCGCCCTGTTTGTCAACAGCACTGGTGGCGGTCGTTGTTAACCCGGGCCTCAAACAAATCGTGTGGTTTCACTTTGATGAACTTGAATGTTAGTTTTGACAAGTGTTTTATGTCGGATGTTCTTCCTGACACAACCCTCACCAACATCCAGCTTCATCCATCATCCAACATATGAAACTCTGGGCGGGTGTCAGTCCATCACAGGGCCTCAATTTATTCAGCATGTTCTAATCTTTAGAGATGCTCCTGTAAGTTTAATAAGTTCTAAATGTTTAAATATTAAATATATATACAATTCTAAATAATTCTAGAATTGTGTCGCTCCAGGTGGCTGCATGTTGGAGCAGCTCTGTTACTTTCAGATTTTGCTTTTGGAAACTTTAATTCCTCTTTCTGGATGTAAATCACATTTTCTGGATGATTGTTTCCTCTGGTGTCAGATGCTGTGCAGCTGGAACTTTTTTTTAGTTTTGGACATTTGTTGTGTAACCATGGCAACAAGGCGGTTTTCTACAACCAACAGCTGATTAACATCTCAAAAGCTCAAATATCTCAACTACAGCCCCAAATCTCAAATGAGTTGAAAGGACGTTTTGCGGATGCATTCTCATCTACCTGCCAGCTGTGCTCAAGTGCCTGACCACTGAGATCCTGGAACTAGCAGGAAACACGGATCATGACAGAAGGACAGGATCGTCCCTCAGCACCTACAGCTGGCTGTCCGCAGCGACGAGGAGCTCGGCAGCTGCTGGGAGGAGTGGCCATCGCTCAGGGAGGAGTTCTGCCCTGCATTCAGGCGCCTGGGGGAACCGAGGCCAGCAGAGTCTGGGTGGACGGAACGAACGACATCTGCAGCCAGATTCTTAGGATCCACCTTTACAAATGATCCTTCCTGTCTACAGCATCCATCACATTTTAATGAAATCAGGATGAGTTACAACAAATGATTTCCCTTTGGGATTAATAAAGTATTTTTTAATTGAATTTAGTATACAGGGAAAACATTCTTCATATTTCTGATAAAACAAACATTAACATTTTAGATTTTGATTCTTAGATAAAAGCATCAAGTTTAGTTAGAGACCCTTAATTGGATTTAATTATTATTAATGTCATGTGTTGAAAACAACACACTAACAGTAATTCCTTCCAGTCGTACATTAAATATATTTGTGATGTTTTAGTTAAAATGATAATCTGATAAAAACACGCGCCATGAGGACAGTTGCTGTCAGAGGAGGTGGTGGCTCTGAGAAGAGCCTTTGTGTTGGTGGCGGACTCCGC